ACAAAATGACAAAATAAATGAAAAATTAGAAATGATACAAAATCTACACACAGAAATCCAGAAGATTAATACTAAATTTTCAGAAATAGATTAAGGTATTGAATGAGCAAAGGAGTAGAATTAAATCAACAGAACACAGAATTAGAAAGAATCAAGGCAAATACCTCAATACTTCTTTGGAAAGGGATACATCAGAAAAAAGATCAAAACAAAATGAAGAAAACCTAAGGTTCATGTGGCATACCATCAAAAGGAATAACCTACATGTAATCGTAATTCTAGAACAGGAAGAGACAATTAAAACCACAGAGAAAACTGTCAAAGATTTATTGGAAGAGAATTTTCCTGGTATGATGAAAGATGAGAATATTTCCATTCAGGAAGCCCAATGAATCCCAAACAGGGTAGACCCCAAAAGAAAATCACCCAGACATATCATCATCAAATTTACCAAAACCAATGACAAAGAATCATGAGAGCAGCATGGGAAAAACAAAAAGTTACCTACAAGCGGCAACCAGTAAGACTAACCTCGGATTTCTCGACAGAAAGGCAGGCAGGAAAGAAGACAATGGGATGGTATATATAAAACCCTGAAAGAGAAAAATTTCCAACCAAGACTTATGTACCCAGCAAAACTGTCCCTCAAATATGGTGGTGAAATTAGGACATTTCCAGATAAGCAGAAATTAAGGGAACTTGTTAAAACCAAACCAACCTTACAAGAGATGCTAAAGGGAACCCTTTCGACAGAGAAGCAACAACAGCCAACAACAACTGATTAACACACATGATATAACCCAGAAACCAACTCAGCTATAGAAGTATCCAAAGTAAATAAGCCTACAAGATTGTAAACAGGGAACCAGAGACATCAATTGACAAATGAGGACAACTACAAACCAAAAAGAGGGAAAAAACTGTGTGATTACAGAACTTCTAGATTGTAGGGAAGTCAAGACAACTACAAGATTGAATGGACTGTTCTAAACTTGGGAAGAAAACTATAAATCACAGGGTAACCTCAAAGAAAAATGATAAACCTTCACATCAATAAAGAGGACCAGCATAAATATTCAGCAAATACTAAAACAAAAGCAATGAGGAAAGTGATAACACAATTCATAAACAAAATGAGCTCAGCATAGAAAATTATATGGAGCAAAGAAATCGACCACATAAAAGCACATTACAAAAATAAGAGTGACAAATTCATATTTGCCAATAATTACATATCTGGCAAGAGACTTATCTCTAAGATTTATAGCAGAAAAGTGGATGACCAAACTATGGTACATACACATGATGGAATGCTATGCAGCACTAAAGAATAATGTAGAATCTGCAAAACACCGCATAATATGGATGAACTTGGAGGACATTATGCTGAGTGAAATAAGTCAATCACAGAAGGACAAATATAGCATTAGTTTGTTGTTGTGGAGGTCAAGGAAAGGTTCATATATGGAGGGAAACTTTTTTGTTGGTTGCCGGGGTGGGAGGGAAGGGGAGGGAACACTGCAAACAAACAAACAAAAATGCATTGACCCATGTCACTTTAATTTTTTGTATTTCACTGTACATAAGTTATATATTTCAATAAAATGCATTAAAAAAAAAACTTATTCCCCAGCTCTTTGGGAGGTGCTCACTAACCACACTCAAGCAAGCCTCCTAAGTAAAGTTTTCCTAAAGGTAAGATAATATGTACCATATAAATATAAACTCAAAACTCATTGCCATCAAGTCGGATCCAACTCATAGCAACCCCTCCTTGGGTTTCCAAGGTGGTATCGCTACGGAAGTAGATTGCCCAACCTTCATGTTGAGCATTAAAATAAATTTGTAATACTAGCTGCATAAGAACATGTTACTGAAAAGTCAAACATGTAACTAGTAGTTTCTATTATTCAGATGACTTATGTA